AGCTAATTCTAAAGCACTAACACTGAAAGTTTTAGCAAAAGCTAATTCTAAAGCACTAAAATAACCCGGTCAACCCATGAACATTTATAGACCTCAGTTAGTGCTTCTAAATTTAGCCTATAAATTTAGCAAGTGCTAATCCACTAATAAATTTTAAAATTAGCAAAAGCCCTAAAGCACTAATCAGGAAATTAATTCCCCTATTAGTGCTTTAGGGGAACTGCGCCCACCACTGCCTTTCACTTTGTGAAATATAGTTCTGTGTTACTTTTTATTTTGCATGACATTTGAGTCAGATTAATGTAAWACAAAAAAATAAATAAATAAATTTGATCTTATTTTGTTTTTAAGGAATATTTTCCTAAAATATACCACTCTAGAGTTTCCCAAACATTCTGTTTGATTCATGGCCTGTAGGTTACGTTTTATATCTTAGATTGGATAAAAAGACAATAATGAARTTACGGTATGTTTTGTAGTGCATTTATCAGTTGCTGAACACAACCAGCTGCACAGGATGTGCCTTTTGTTTTTTTGTCTCTGCTTCCGGCAGAGTTATTGTCTGTAAATATAAATCTAAGCTCTGCGTGCYTTAGCTGCAAAGATCTATCCACTCAGCCAAACAGAATGTAATGAAAGTGCGTGTGTTCAAAGGTCATGTGAGCGTTCTGCAGTGATCTGATCAAATGATAACAGAGTGGGCAGTAAAGGCTCGCTGTTGGTCTCATGTCAGTCAGGTGACGATACAAATCACCTGACCTCACACAACCCACAATACGACCTCAGTCAAACTCTGTCTGTGCTGCTGTGTGATGTGTCGATGGGCTCTGTAACACAGAGCTGTAAAGAAAGGGATCTTAAAAAGAACTTRCTGGCTTTAGAGTTTTTGGTGTCCGCTGTCCTGAAGCCCTGACTCCACAGCACCACTACATTCTCCTCAGTGCTTTGTTTGCAGCAAGTTAAACTTTGTGACACACGTGGAGTTTGTTTAAAGTCTGATCACCCCGTTCCCTCCTTGTTTCTCTGRAGCTTTTGTCATTTACAACTTCCTGAGTCTGTGTTACGAGTACCTGGGAGGAGAGAGCGCCATCATGGCAGAGATCCGAGGGAAACCCATTGAGTAGGTTTATTGAGTTGTCTTCTTCTGCATATTAAAGCATCCTGAGCATTATTTATTTATTTATTTATTTTTATTGTTGTGGGTTTGACCCTTTCAGGTCCAGCTGTATGTACGGTACCTGCTGTCTGAGAGGAAAGGCCTACTCCATCGGATTCCTGCGCTTCTGTAAGCAGGCCACGCTGCAGTTCTGTGTGGTCAAACCTCTCATGGCTGTCATCACTGTTATCCTGCAGGCCTACAGCAAATATAAAGATGGAGACTTCAAGTGAGTGATTCTCCACCAGCTCACCCTGTGCCTTCCTTCACACTAACCAGTGTATGTAACGATAAATACTCAGGACAAACAGGACTGACTCCATGTTGGTTTCTCACCGTAGCGTCGCCAGTGGATACCTGTACGTGACCATCATCTACAACATCTCAGTCAGCTTGTCTCTCTACGCCCTGTTCCTCTTCTATTTCGCCACCAGGGCCCTGCTCAGCCRGTACAGCCCCATGCTCAAGTTCCTGGTGGTCAAGTCCATCATCTTCCTCTCCTTCTGGCAGGGTACAGAGCCTTCACACCACACGTTGTTAGAGGGWTTTAACACAACTTCTACTCGTATTACTTTAAATTAGCATCGTYCTTTTMTTGGATATTTTGTGGTTGYTTAACTGAATTTTAGATACAGTCTTATGTTTTACACTTGGTGATTGGTCGTAGTGATTTACTTTAAACAGTAAGAGAATCAACAGGTCTGGATTTAACATGTGTCTCGCTCCAGCAGCATAAACATAATTTGTTACATTTTACAGTAGAGCTGCTTTGAGGGTACTTCCTTGTTTTAGAGCTATGACATCATATCTTAAAAGCGTTGTGATAACYTGTGATGGGAGAACATTTTCTTTAGATCTCCAGAGAGACTGAACGGTTTCTGCACATTATCCGGGCTTCCAGTCTGAACAGTACTACATCCTGTTTTTGAATGCGCTCTCGGTGAGCTCTGTCTCATTGTGCTCAGGCATGTTGCTGGCCATCCTAGAGAAGTGTGGCGCCATCCCTCGGATCAACTCGCCYGGGGTGACGGTCGGCGAGGGCTCGGTTGCAGCCGGGTACCAGAACTTCATCATCTGCATCGAGATGTTTTTCGCGGCGCTGGCCCTGCGGCATGCTTTCACTTATAAAGTCTACATGGATAAAAGTCTCGATGCTCGAGGTTTGTCCAACCTGCCAAACATTACTGCTTTAATTCTGTTTTTCCATTTWAAAAAAAAATCACTTTTTTCCCCTTCTTTTTATTTCTGTTAGTTCCCGTTAGTATTCTTCCTGTAATTTCCTCTTTTGTTTTGTCTCCTCTTTTTCTCTCTCTATTGAAAATACTTTTCATTCGTCATTTTCCTGTTTCCTGTGTCTTCATATCTGTGTTTTCTTCTCTGCTGCACCATAAAGGACCTCTTCCTACATATGGACAGTTTGGTAGGTTTAATACTTGTGACATTATACATTTGTCTCACAAACTCATGGTCTACGTTTGATTCATTTTAGGACCTCTTGTGCTTTAGATTCAGTATATTGTGTTTTTTACATTTCAGAATTTCTTGCATTCCTTTCTGRCTCCAACCACTTTTTTCTTTCCTTGCCTCCTTTATACCCCCTGCTGTTTTAGTTTGAACATCTTGTTACTTCAAGTTTCCTTTATCAGTTATGTTTTTTTTAATGCCAACATGTAAGTATTAAATCACCCATATTATAAGGTCATTACTTTTCTGTCAGATTATAGCAATGAAAATGTTGCTAATTTTCTCAGTTTTGAGTCACCAACATCATCCCTTTAGATTTTTACAAATTGAAGGCCAAAATTCAGCTTTTTATAAAAATACTACCCCTCCCCCATTTATTTATTTTCTTTATTCCAGCTCTTCTTTGTACTGAATCTCTCCTTTTTTACTGATTCTTCTCTCCACCTCCATTCTCTCATTTTTCTCCTCTGTGCATAAAAACCTTCCAAACCTATTCTTCCACTATTTACCCCTTTCCTTCTTACATGAATTGACATTTTCTTTAATAGATCTCATTCCAGACTGATGGTCTCCTCTTGTCCCTCCTCCTCCTCAGGCCGCTGCGCCCCGATGAAGAGCATCTCCAGCAGCCTGAAAGAGACGATGAGCCCCGGGGACATGGTCCAGGACGCCATCCACAACTTCTCCCCGGCCTACCAGCAGTACACACAACAATCCACGCTGGAGCAGGGGGCGCCGCCTCCCGCCTCCCGCAGCCACGGTACGGTCGGTGCCCGCGGCGACACGGAGAAAACGCTCCTGCTCAGTTCAGACGATGAGTTCTAACACAGGAGGACAGCTTGTTTCAGCAGCTGGTGCTGCTTCAGACCCAAGTTTTAACAGACGCTGGTTCTTAATCTAAGCTGCTGTCTTCAGTGGGACTGATTCCACGGTCATAAACACACCCGTGCCCACGTTAYCATCTTGTTTCATGGGAGCGCTTGTTCGGTTGTGCAAACTCGGAAAGTTACAGAGTCACGATCCGACAATAGAAATCATTTCTGACGTCTGAGAAAAATGTTTTCTGGCTTTGTTTGGACTTTATTTTTATATTCCAGAAGAGTCGCCTCAGTGGAAACACAGCCATCCAGTCCGAACTCTTTTCTGCTTTTCAAGATGTTTATAGATAAAGCACAATCTTACATTTTAAAGTTAGAGTTTTAACTATTTTTCATGAATGGAATTCAAATTTATCGGAGTCACAGATTTGTAAAGTTTGAAACCTTTTATTTTACAAACTGCTAAATTTCTGGCATTTATTTGTAAGGTAAAATGTTGTGAGTAAAGCAGATGAATGTACTTTAAAGGGATATTCTGGTCATCTCAAAGTGGAGTTCTGTGAACATGTTTCCAAACAGGTGAGATAAATGTTTGGATTTTCACAAAACACCATTACAATATGGCTGGGATGTTCCTTTAAAGCTATTTTCAGTGTTTCTGTGTGAAGAGCTAGTGTTGCTCACATGGATCTARAATGTTGTTGATATTAACAGAACAGATGGGAAGGGGGCGGGGCAGTTTATAGATTTGACATTTTATCTGCTCCAGTTGGAGTGAGGAGGTAGGGAGGCAGCATGAGAAACACCTCAGGGTTAATCTTGTTTTGTTGAGTGGTTTGATCAGCAGAGTCAGAACTCTGCAGGCTCCAGCCAAGACGAGGGGCCAAAATTCAAAACTTTGTTTTAGCCAAGGGCCAATCTCCAACACTATTTATTGTATAAAATATATAATTGACCTTGGTTTTCAGATGTAAAAAGTCAAAAAATATTTATATAGACTAGAGGCGTCTTCAACTAAGGATTTTCATAGTCGAATCTGATTCGTCAGATTTTGCCTTTAGTCAACTAATAGTCTAATGTTTTTTTTTTTCCTAGAGCACCATAAGCGGGGATCCCCCACATACATATTCATCATACTCAGGCGTACTTCAGTCCGCGGAGGTCCGTGCGAACTACGCAGACCCGAGGCGGATGTCCGCCGGGTTGGCGAGTACTGTTTTGGATGCAACACCAAGRAGATAAAGTTGAAAATCGGTGTCATTTGTGGATGAAATTGAGTCAAACTTTAAAGAGCGTCTCATGGAGGAGATTAGAAAACTTCATGATGCGTCAATGAAGGAATATAAAGACTTTTAGCGAGCAACAAATTTGTTGGAGGAAATAGCTCAGATCCTGGGTAAGATAGTTATTTTCTTTTTTCTTTTGTTGTTTAAAGCTAAAATGCAAACTATTTCTTCCTTCCCGTCCTTGACACCATGACTGAAATTGCYAGAAATTAAAGAATTTGTCAGGTGGTCAGTACGCTCGAGTACGAAGTGTCAAACATCCGCGTAAAACGGGGAGTCCGCGCGMCTCATGGAATGCYCACATTACGCATGAGTGTGACTTTTTTTCTGTTTCAAAGGAAAAACCTAACTCACTCAGATAAATAAATAAACATGGTATGTTTGCTTTATTTATTAATTCACTGWAACAAAATATAACGTTAACAAACCAGGTCACCATCACTGCGCACATCGAACATCAGAAAAGTYCACATAAAACAAGAATTAAAGTGTTTTTAAAACAACAATATGTCAAAACGTGGCTTTAAAATATTTCTCAGTCGGGATATGAGTTGGCTAAACWAAACAGCCGACAGACACTGTGCAAAATGTCAAAAATATCTTTAAATAAAATATGCCTGACTGAAAATATAAAAACATTTAGCCAATAACGAAAAAATTATAAAATTAAAGTAAGGGTCAAATAAAGGGGTTTAAAAAACAAACAAAAAAAACTTTCTGAGACGCACGCGTGCAGACTCCAGCTTACAATGTCCCAAAATTAAACAAGATTTGCAAAAAGAAAAACTTTCATAACATACGAAAAGCCCATGTTCTACTGCTCCTGTGATCCTCTGATTTTTCTTAAGTTGTGTGCCAGAAAAACCAACTTGTTCATGTTGGTCGGGAAAAGTGCGCTCCTCGCTTTATTTGCGATGAAACCCGCCTTAGAAAATATCCTCTCGGATGGCGTGGAGGTGGAGGGCATGCTGTGAAATCTTCTAGCAGCTCTAGACAATTTCGGGTGCCTCTCCTCGTTTTTCTGCCACCATTCCAGTGGACCTCCGCTTTATCTTTTTCAAAATACTCCCACATGTTGGAAGTTTTTTTTTAGTAGCCATCATGAGCCAATACACCAACAAATGCTGAAGCYTGTTCAGCTCCACTCGTGGATTGCACCACTGCAGTGGGTGATTWATTAAWGTGAAGTAAGGAAGAAGCRTATTGTTTAAACGCACACATCATTTCATTTTTTTACTACCAGAAATTAGGATGATTTTGTTTGACAAAAGGCTATAAATAATGAAAACAAAGACATTCAATGTAACAACTAATGCTTAGCAACCTTGGGCCTCCCCYTGTAGTCAGAATGGTACGATCTTGATTACAAAACAACATTCGACCATGACGTTCATAGCCGAATCAGAGTCCTCCGAATCAAATAGTCGAATCAGCGACTATTCCAGGTCACCTTAAATATAGACACATTATTTACTTTTTAAAATAGATTTTCAGAACAAATGTAAGTTATTGATTTAAAAAACAAACYATCAAATTTAACTATGTATTTTTTGGCTTACTGCCTCAAGACGTCTGCACTAAGCACGTTCAGATTTTTAAACAAAACAAGAAACAATCGAGACTAAAGGTTGGTTTAGGCTCCGCAAGACGTTTAAAAATCTTGTTGACATTTGTTACAAGACAAAAATTATGCCATTTTGTTCTCACAGACTTTTTCAGTGCACAAGCTCCTGGTAGAACTTTTTTTTTTTTCTCGCAGGAGGATGCACCCTGCATCATGTGACATCGCATCGACACGGCTTTCTGTGGCCGTGCTCGACCAGGACACGTTCACTTGTTATCGTGCACCGTCTGTCGGAACCGTTGAGGCTCTCTTTGTGACAGATTTGATGCAAAATGGCTTTTACTGTCTGTATTTTCCAAAATTCTGGTCGCAGTAAAGGAACCAAATATCTATARGCAAGAGTGGCGACTTCTGGGGGGAGGAGCTTGTGGTTTTGCTTGTCCACGCTAAAAAGAACGTCTCATCTAATTGAGAACAGGTTTCTTAACGTTTTGCAGAGCATAAATCAGCCTTCAGTCTGCCACTGATAAGCAAACTAGTTTCTATTACATTTAATTGTGGAGCAGATAAAATTGCAACAATGACTGGATCTGACCTGCGAGCCTCGACTTTGACACACAGATTAAACAGACTGAGAGGTAAAAACAGCTCAGCTTCTAATTTAACAGCAAATAAACTTGACCTATCACATTGAACTGAGGATTAAGTCCCAAAGTGGTATGTGGAGAAATGGGCCGATATAATGTTTTGATTAAAACGTTTGCAATAATTACATTTAGTGAAAATGCCTAATCTTAAAAAATTTGAAGCATTTTTTAAGCAGTAGCAAAAATAAATAAAATATTAAGCAAAACCTTTTTTTTTTCCCAACTGGGAAATCTTAATATCCAAATTTTATTTCATCAAACTTTTGTCATCAAAACTTCCTTATTACAATAACCTAAAAAAAGGATTCAGACCAAATTGTAATGTATTATCTTGATCAATAAAACAAATTAAGGCACATCCCTCATGATATCAGGATGCTCAGGTATCAAAATGTATCTCAAGTCACTTTGACCAAATTTGACATGATCCTTGGTTTGATGTGACTTATGCCTCATAAAATCATCCTTTATATTGTTAAAAAAAGAAAATACTTCCTGCCATGTATGCTGGCCTTACAGCAGCTTATATTTTGTTCATTGCAGAAGAAATAATCCAACTGCAGCCATTCAGCACCAGAATAAGAAGCCTAAGAGAGCACAAACGCACTGATTTCACTTTGACTTTAAACCTGAGTCATTCAGCAGCCGTACAGATCTGATTGGCTGCAGCTATTGAACAACTCTGCCCCCCCGACATGTCCACTAAAGCAGTTTTTCTCTTCTGCTCAGAAGTCAGTATTGAAAGTTTTTCAGTTGTTTATTTATTTAAGCCTAACCACATTTGTTGCACAGTACTTATTAAGCTGAACTCTTCACTAAACACAAGCTGTGAGAGGAGGGGAGGTGAAAGGTCATCCTTTACTTCCACTGTTTTTGTTTGCTTTGGCTTTAGTTTAACCAATCGATGAATTTTTGTCTCTTTTTTTTAAAGACACATGGAGTTCCTGAGTCATCAGAGTGCGTCATGCTGAACATGTTTACTACTTTCTCTTCTTTGTTGTAGCTTAGGTTGAACAGCAGAGGGCCACAAACACATGAAACGCACAAACACCAAGCTTCACACAGGCACTCTGGCACAAGGTTTTTTTTTTGTTAGTTTTGCATTTACATCAGGAAACAGATAAATTCTGAGACATCCCTCTTTTTTTTTKTTTTTGACWGCCTGACCCAGTTTTATAAACAGGAGAGGGATGTGTTTGCACGTAGGAGCCTATTTTTAGCCTTTTTTTAAAGCCAGTTTATTTTTAGCAGCAGTTGCAGGTGGTTTTTTTTTCCTGATTCACATATCTTACAGGTTGAATGCCATAATTCACCCATGAGCTCTTATTTCTGTGCTGCTGCGTCATTCAGTAATGTGTGTCGTTCTGGAGAAACGTGTGTTTTAGGTACGTCAATGTCTGCAAGAGGAAAAGCTTGAGGTGTGTTGGAACATTTCTTTGCTGTAAAGTTTTTAAAGAATCACAAGCCTGTTTTATTTTTGTTTCAGTGGATTGTGGATTTTTGTTCTCTGTCTGAYCTGCTCACCACGTTTTGACAAATGGATAAACAGAGAAATAAAGATAATTTAGTTTGTATTTAAGCGAAATATTTYTGTTGTGATGTCTTCTTATTGTTATAGTTTAATTACCCTCATTAGGAGCTTCCACTCATAAAAGCTTTTTGACTTAATAATTGCAAAATAATTAAGATTTTGTACAGGGGTAACTACTTACAAAGGGCACCACCAAAGGTAGGGGAGCAGTAGACCACCTTTAGACAGACAGTTTTATCTTGTTAAATCCAAGCTTTTGCTTAAAGTGCATTTTTAGTTTCCCCAAACTATCCAGGTTAAGTAGAACCTCATAAAGGTTAAAAATACAGTATATACAGCGGGTAAAATAAGTATTGAACACGTCA